CACGGGTCGCCGCGAAGGGGAGGAGAGGATCGTTGGTGGATGTTTAGATCCCAGAGAAAGTAACTGTAAATACAGAACCTTCCCTGGGAGGTCCCCTCACCACGTACAGGAATCCACGTCGAGGGGGCCACATTTGAATTATTGTGTTCAGTCTTGGGCTTCTTACCTTAGGAATGGAAGGATTGTCACATGAAGAGAGGTTAAGATATCTGAAATTGTTTTCTATTGAAAAAAGAAGAGTTAGAGGGGATCTGATTGAAGTGTTTAATATTGTAAAGAATAGTAGGACTAGGGGACACAAATATAAATTTTGGCAAGGCAGAAGTCATCTTCACCTAAGGTAGTTTTATTTTTCTAACAAGTTGGTTGGACTCTGGAATGGGTTGCTTTCTGATGTTGTGGGGACAGTAAATTTAAATGAGTTTATGAAACAGCTTGATAACTATACGTACGATAAGGGCTGGCTTTAATATTTTTTCAAATTTATTTATTCAATAGTTTTTGTTTAGTTTAGAGGATGGGACAGCTGAGAAGGACCAATAGGTCCCTTGTTGCCCCTAAACATTATCTTACATTATATTGCTGCATGTATAAGTCACAGCTAAAATTATATTTTGCTTCTGGACAAAAAAAAAAAAACTGTAACAAACAGACCTTGAAAAAAGTCTTGGCAATGTTCTCCTTACATTTTTGGCACTGTAGAAGAACCTTTTAAAGCATGTCTCAGTAATAATAAATCAAATACATTTCTTCACTTTACCTTCAACTTTGTGTTTCCTACTCCTAGATAAAACAAGTAGTCACGTTTGGCATTGTCATCTCCATGTGTAAAAAGGTCTGTAACATAAAAATAAAAACATTAATCAGTTTCTATCTGAGAAAAGCAATGTATAGTTTATTATGAATTATGTTCTGCTGAAAGTGTTATGACTTACTACTGTTTTAGTATACCATATCAACATTTTCACTTAAAATTTGCCATCTGTTTTACTCCCAAAAAAGAAGTTATCTATTTGAAAGTGCTAGAGTTTTTGAGTTTTTTGAAATCTAAATGATACAGATATCAAGGAAGAATGCAAAGTGCACTTTTTATCAATATATTTGTATTTATTTCTATCGACCTTGTTAAGCATTTTTCTGCATGCAAAGAGCACTGCCCCTTTGGATGCAGGACAGGAAATGAGGGTCACTCCCTGGTTGTACAAGAACGTATTGATATTTAGGTGTTTTCTCACATCAACTTGCTAATTACCAATGAGGCCATATCCAATAGTGAAACTCCAAAAGGACATGGACATAGCTGATAGAAGTACCTTTCTTTACATGCAGGTAATAATTGCCATTTCATTAAGTGAGATTTTGTTTTCATAACTGCTTCATAACAGGTATTAATTGAGTGGTGGGTCACAAATAATTTATTATGTAAGCTTTGATAGTAGAATAACATGACTACCATTTAGTTGATGCCAAGAATTGTTGTCTGAAAAATCTCTAAAGCTTAAACTATTCATACTAAAATAACTCAGTTTGGTTTTATTCTGAACAAACTATAACTTAGTACTCCATATGACACTACTGAAATGTTTAGAAGATGAAGGACAAGAAATACTTTGAGATTATGTTACCTTAGATCACTAAAAACTATCAAACATCAACTTCTTGTCGTTTAAGACTTACGATGTATATGGTATTGATACTTAAATAAATTGCATGCATTGACATTCACAGTGTTAACTTTGTTATCTGATTGCTAACTGAAGCAATTTTATTGAAGCCATTGTCAATCCAGTGAAGTCAACAAGGCTCTGGTGAGAAGGCCAAAAGTTTGCAATGAAAAACTAAATTTAATTTAATTTCCATGTTCAGGTTCCTGACAAAGACTCTGATAAAATGGCTGAAACTTGTAATAAAAACTAAATTTAACATAGTGAATGTTGATATAATTTATTTAATCAAAACTTTGACCAATTTTTTCCACATTCCTTAAAATTGAGCAATAAACCTCAGCTAAATTGTAACTGCCTATTTTATTTAGGGATAAATGATATGAAATACACAATTTCATTCATGTTCTACTTTAAAAACTCATAATATTTATTCCATTTAAACAGCACCATATGTTAGTCCAGAATGCATAGAGTTTAATGCATGCTTTTGCTCACAGCTTTAGGTTCAGACTAAGACAAAATGCAAATATTTGTTCAGTAGAACTGGGAGATGAAGTTAATTAATCAATTATCTACAAGCATCAATTACATCAACAAGTGTCCTGTAAAATAATTAACTGAAATTATGCTTAAATTAACTAATATTATGAAAATGAGTGTACTTAATGCTATATACCAAAGACTATTTTTATGCTGTTGCTGATATGTCAGCAACAAGAAATGAAGATTATGGGTATTTGCTATTTTTAACCAGAACATTTCATGCAACATATGGATTAAACAGCCAGGTTCAGATATAGTCATATTGATTATTCCAACAGTTAAAGAAGTTTACCTAAATTTCTTAGGAATAAAAAAGTTTAAGTCAGTAACAGGAAACTGTTGCAGACTAGGCAGTCAAGAATGCATATAGTTTAATGCGTGCTTTTACTCACAGATTTAGGTTCAAACTAAGACAAAATTCAATATTTATTCTACTTAATTTTGTGATGTGGCTGTGTCCATAGCAGTCAATTTATTTGTCCAACCTTTCATATCACTTCACTGGATTATTGAAATGAGTGATATAGCAAGTTTTGCATGAAATATTTTGGATAAATTAAAATATATGCTACAAAAATTGTTTGATAGTTTAGAATAACTCAAATACAAACAAAAGCTGAGAAAATTTTAGTTCTTCACACTTTTTAAACATAAAACAATGATACTGAAGTTTCTGGTTAATGCTGATTGATTGTATGCATGTGTAATTTTTATATCATAATACTTAATGTTATAATAAAAATATATTGTACTATTTCTTATCACTCAAATACACCCATGAATGATTATTAAGTTATTTAACTTCTTAACAACAAATACTGAACTTAAAAAATGTGTAATTTAACATTTTTTTCATTTTTATTTACAATAACAAATAAGCTAGCCTGTTAAAAAAAAGGGTTATTAAATAATTATATTAAGAAAACTAGGGAGTCTATGCATATAACAAAATGATTTCAATCATAGTTAAGTGATAAGATTCATTTAATTTTAGGATAATTTCTTGCAAACACTGGTTATGAAGTGAGTTTAATTTACTGGTAAATGCTTAAATAAATAACAAAATGTTGAGTTTTATATGCAAAAGCTTACTCAATATTTTTATTATATGTGTCTAAAAATATTTATTTTACCAATTTCAGGATGATGTACAAATAAATGTTAATATTAAAAAATCATTACTGACCAGTACAACTTTGGTAATCTTTTACAGCTTCTATTCCTTTCATTATTATTAATAATGGCAAGAACAGAAGTTATAATAATAATAATAAATTCTAAATGTAATGATCATAATTATTACAAAAAAAATAATTTAAAAAATCCATGAAAGTCTATCACTTTAGACTAGGTGTGGCCTAGTGGTTAGTGAGCCAGACTGTGGATCTGAGAGTTGCAAAGAGAAACCAATCTTGCTCCTCACTTTGGGGTCATTGGTGCATTATAAAAGCAATAGCCAAATTCTAATTCTTGATTAGAGGGTATCCCAAGACTTGTTGGTAAATTATGATAACCGTATGATTAAAAGCATCTCTGTACTTTGCATGTCATGAGATTTTACTTTGTTACAATAAAAATTTAATTAAACAATTCTACAATCAATGTATACCAATGAAATTAGCATTCAAATTTACATTATAGTTCAAAGTTTTATATTATTATTTTAATTCTTTTATTTCAAAAGAAATCTTAAAGAAAAATTCTTAAACTTCAGCGTGATGCACAACTTCATAAATTTTTAACTTTTGGACTTTGTAACTTGAATACAATTTGACATATACTAAACCTTCCATAAATAAAAACAATCTAGTATAATTACCCTGTTTACACATTCTTCTTTCAAGCTACTTAGGGCACATTCGGAGAAAGGAGAAATACATTTCTCTGAGCTCTTGACAGATGCCACACCCACTTTCTAAACACAGAGTTGTGATTGCTTAGCCAATTATACTTAGTTGAGCTACAAGTTTATAACCAGAACAAGACAAACCACTGTTGCTGCTTTTCTCCACACCACTTTAGCATTGTTTCTCACATTCACTAAATACTGTTTAACTGTGTATCATTCTCCATATGGGCTTTGTTCATTGGGTACTGCCCCATCTCCATATGGTTAACCAGCTTATTCCTTCTGGTCTAGCTCTTCAAAATTAGCAACAGTTGGCTCTGGTAGCCCCCAGTAGTTTTATGCAAAATTCACAAATAGCACTTTTAGAATCTTTTTATTTATTGCTGATAAACAGATATTTTTAACAAATTTACATTCTTTTTTTTGCATAATAGATTATAAATATCTTCAGAACTACAGCTTAATTTCCAAGAACTTAAAAACCAATGAAATTATTCAAAACAGAAGATTAAAAAAAATGGACAAATAAAAGAGTAAAAAAAAATTCATAAAGTTGAAAACTTAACTATTCATGTATAAAAGAGATAAACAAAAACACTTTTAAGCCAATAAGTTTAATTATCTTTTATATTGAGGAATCTCATATGTTAATGAACTTGATAATTGTTTAAAAAAACAATCCTTGCTAGAAGCAAGCCAGATCCTTCCTGAAGGTCATTTATGACATTAATAATTGTTTTGTTAACCTCTTAAGCTCTGTGCTGACAATGTTCAATAGGTTATCAATTGATGCCTATGTCAAAGGCTATAGCTTTGATTAAGCACATACAGTCTAGTAGCCAGTGACTCAGAATGCAAAACTTACAGGTGTCAACAGTTTTCCAGAAACAAAGCTGCCTGGATGTGCCAAAATCATGCATCCAGTCTCGTCCAATGTTTGTACTGTATGTCACTTGAACAAACTTTAGAATCTAGGGCATTTGTGCTATTTCTATAATTCACAGCTTAAGAACAACTAAGGTACAAGACCTACACTAAATTACACTAAATAAATGTCAGAAAATGGTAAAATATAAATTCTAAAATAATTCTGTCTTAAAATTGTTTAAATAGAGTTAGAATTAACACGTAAAATAGACAAGTTAAAAATATGGGGAGTGACCCCTTGGCAATACATGTATGCAAAATTCAAATTAAGGGTATCTAATTATGGCACCTGCTGAAATTCTGCTAAAAAAGCAGATGTAAAGTCCAGTCTTCAATAGTGCTAAAACAGATTCTGGCCTATCATTTATTATTGTATTGGTCGAAGCATGAATCAACAATTCAGAAATACACTTATACAGTAAAATATTAATTTTATAAGATTATTTTGATACTATGCTAGAAATAACATCTGAGCAATCACCAAATGAATACAGCTAAGTAAATTAAAAATGTACTACAAAACTTTTCATGTCACTTAAAGTTAAGTAAAAAGTATGTGAAACAACCACACAAAATACACATATATAAAGATATTAATTTTCCATGATGATCAAGTCTGTATGAATATACTATAACCAAGAAAGACTGAATCAGTCTGTAACTGCCTAAAACACTGCTTTAACATTCATTCATTTGATGGGTTCTTTTAACTTATTTGGTGGAAATAATTCAAGTTCCAGTCCATGTGACAATAACAAATTAGTTTATTTTTCCTTAACATTTCTACAAGCTCCTTCACTAGTATACTGTTGTAACTTGAAGGCCTAAGTTTACAAATGATGTTCAAATGGAAATACCTTGCTAATAGTACTACAACTAATGTAAAAATAAATTTATTTGTACATTTTCATGATAAATCAACGAAAAACTCAATAAGACAGTAACTAGCACTGATCATATACTTCACTAAAACTAAGTACTTCACATAAACTGACTGAATGGTACACAATTGACTGGAAGATGACTGACTCAATGCTTCAGTGATTCATTATTAGATTTGCTAATTGACTGACCCACTAATATTTATGTTTGATGTCTCATTTCTAGATATTTGTCAAAGTTACTAGATTTTCTGTAATATCAATCTATAATATTCATGGTATCCTAGCCCTACTTTTATAAATATTTCCTTCTTAGCATCATGCACCTTCTAGCAAACCTCTAAATTCAAGTACTGAAAACATAACTCACAACAAAATTTTACAATTATTGAACTTACTTCCTAGTTAAATTATTTATGATGGTTTTTTTTGCCTAAATTTCATTTTAAAACTAATCTTAAAGACACACTAAACTAGTGACATGTATTTTGAACAAGCAAAAAAAAAGTTGAATAATTATATCAATCTACAAGTTAATGGGAAAAAGATGCAAACCTTCTAAAAGAACCACTCCTCTTCTGATATCTGCAGGATAATGACTACGAATGAGACACCATGCATATTCAAACTGTGTTTTAGATGTCAAATTTCCATGTTTCAGCTGATTATGATACAACTCTTCAAATTTCTAAAATAAAATATTATATTTAATATAACTTTCTATACATTTAATGAAAATGTTTTATTTTATAACAATTTATTAGTTTTTGTATTTAGTTTTAGAAAATGGGCTTATGAATAGATCATATCCACCAAAATTACTATGATGCCATCTACAAATATAGACAAACCAAGCTTATTGTAAACATTTGGATATCTAAAACTCTTCAAAAGAAGTTAAAAATAATTCAGTCTAATAGAACACACACATTACCAACAAACCATTCTACAAGTTTATAACTATAAATTAAAAAAAAACAGTAAAAGACAGAAGTCATCTAGATTTCAGCTTTCATAGTTTAAATCTGTTAGACGTAATATTCAAGCTTATACTCGCAATATTTTTAAGTTATTCTATTCTTCAGAGGAAGATCATTAATATTTCAAGACTTTTACAATCCTCAAACATTTTAAACAAGGTACTATTCTAGAGGCCTATCTCTGTATTCTTCCTAGCATGACTTCTGTATGTATATTAAGGCAATAAAACTACACACAGGCCTCACCGTAATCTTATTCAAGGTTATTATATTACCCTGTAATTCAATATTTTTATAAGTAGGTCCTTAAATTCTGGTTGATTCTTTCACCAAAACTAAACACAGCTGAAAGCTTCTAGCTTTAATCACCAACGTTTGTGTAAGGAAAACTGTCATTAAAATATTGCACTTGAGATTTTTTTATTTTTGCTCTAAGGATTAAAATATTAATTTTTTTTCCAGGGGTGTATGATTTTGATAATTCTGCAAGGTCTAATTTTAAGTGTAATTCAGAATTACACCCTAAGAGTAAATAGTTAGTGAGTTTACTAGTGCAATGAGTTTTGATTTTGAACTATTGTTGTAAGCTATATTTTTAATTTTCTAATTTATGCGTTTGCTAGAGGGAGCTAATGATGATGATGTAATCGTCTAGAAATTTTGTAGAGTATGTAGCAATAAGGGTACATTATATATAGGAGAATAAGTATTCAGTGACTGATTCAGTCCAGTTATTGCATCTATTCAGTTACTCAACTGATTTGTCAAGGAATTATACAAGTTAGGCATAGTACCATTAGTCTCAGAATTTCTCTTGAGACATTGTTTGTGAACAAACATTTTCTTACACTGAAAATGTATTTCCAGAACAGTCTTACCTCCTCTCATCCAGAGTTCTCTCGATTCTGGTCTGCCCTCTAAACACTGCTAAAAAAATATCCCTATGACATACCAATCTTTATACCTCCACAGCTTTGAGCCATTTCAGAACATGTTCTGATCATGTGACTACCCTCCACCAATCATACTGCACCATCTGTACTAGTGCAACTAGCTCCTTCTAGAACAATCCTTACTTTCGAGAACTGGCTGGTAAAAACCAGAAACACCAGCATATCACTTGGGAGAAAGGGTGGCAAGTGGGTGAAAGGAGGAAAGTACCAATCGGAAATACATTTTCAGTATAAGAAAATGTTAACTTCCAAAAAGGTCTTACCTCTACTCACCCAAAGCTAGAATCCCACATTGCAAAGATGGAAAGATCAGTGAATGCACATCAATATCCAATCAAGCAGAAAGTGAGCACATTGAAAGAACAGGTATGCAAGAATATGAAAGGAAAGCACACCTGTGGGGTATAGCACTACTTCTGAAACAGGTATGCTTTATGACCGGTAATCAACACAGTAACACAAAAAGGGTGGAACTGAATTGGCAACCCCAATGCATAAAGTAAACAGACATACAGCACCGAATCAGTGGAGAAGTGCTGTATAACTATAACCTGAAACAGCATGCCACTGACGAACACAGAAAGTTTAGTGTGTAAGCGACAATGGGCCCTTATAAGGATGTGCCAAGGATATTGCCTTGAGTTACATAAGAGTATGTCAAGTGTGGTCCAGCTGGGCAAAACATCCAGTAGAAATGCCTTGAATAAGATACTGTGATCAACAAGTGCAGTCCTCCCAGGCAAAAAACATCCAGGGGAAGCTCCTTGGATATATAGGATTATGAAAAAATTTACAGGTATGAGTGTGATAGTGAGGGTTTTCATAACCAGCTCATAGTCAACGTACATGTCATACTTCATCCACATATGTAGCAAGACAAAGTACCAAACATAGTGATAATGAGCCATAGTATGGTGCCATAGGAAAGCAAAAATAACTATACGTGACTAAAGCTGAAGGACCGTGAAATGTATATGAATAGGCCTAGTGCGGTCCACCTGAGCAAGAAACATACAGGGGAAGTGCCTTGGGATACATCAAATTAAGCAAAGTGTGGTCCAGCTGGGCAAAAACATCCTCTGGAAGTGCTATCCATAAGACTAAGATCAAGTGCAATCCACCACAGCAAAAAACATCTGGGGAAAGCACCTTGGATACATAGGATTAGGCCAAGTGCAGTCTGCCCGGGCAAGAAATATCCAGTTATTGTGTTTTTCAAAACCCACTCAGGAGGAAACCTCCATGATCCACCACTCCAGCGACTGGAAACCGGAAGTGGTAAAGACTTCCGTGCTCCACTAGAAGAGAAGGGGGAGAAAGTGTTATTCATATCTAATGCAAATATAACATGAAGCATACCTGACCAGGCAACACCCACCATCAGGTGGGATCCTGAAATATGATATGTATCCAACAAAAAATATATAGGAAAACTAATGTTGAATTAGTCAAAGTGTAGAATCGCCACAGGAGGAAAACAATACCTGCTGAGGAAGATACAGCCAGGTCATATAGATAATGTGTGATGAATGTATTGGGAGTTGTCCACATCCCAGCCTGAACAATCTCCTACAAAGGCTGGCAAAGGCGAGCAGCTAAAAACATAGTTAGATAATGAATTGGGTGTAAAGAAACATTGTGCAGACAGCAACCTTTCATGGACAAGTTAGAATATGCCAGTTGTACGAGTTGACAAACCCAACCAGTGAGTGCAATAGGAGACAGAACATGGGGCACAGAGGGAGTCCTTGGAACAAATAGAATGGAACAATAACATGAAAGGAGGCAGTAGGAGCCACATAAGACCTCTGGGAATGAACTGGACAAAGAAGTCTATCCAGAACCGAATGAGAGTACAGGTGGGAAATTGAAGGTAAGGAAATAGGAGAGAAGGCCAAATCACCTGTCTGGGCAGCAGATGTCCAGGGAAGGAAGGTCTGATCAGGACTAAGGATAACATAAGAGAAATGGTAAAGGATATGGGAAATATCAGTGACATAAATATTGGAATGCAAGCAAGGAGGAAGAGGACTTAACGAAAAGATGGTACAAGGAACATGTAGCAATGGGTTCAAATGAAGAACTGAACAGGCCATTAAGGACAAAATTGACATCCAATATGGCAAAACAAAGGGACATGGAGATGGACAAGATGAAAGGAATGGAAAAGGGAATTAACAGGAAAGCAAGGAGGAAAAGGACTTAACAAAAAAATGGTACAAGGAGCATGTAGCAATGGGTTCAAATGAAGAACTGAACATGCCATTAAGGACAAAATTGAGATCCAATATGGCAAAACATAGGGACATGGAGAAGGACAAGATGAAAGGAATGGAAAAGAAGGAAATTAACAGGAAAGGATAGACTTTCTGGAAATTGGAGAGACTTTGACAGGGGAGCCCTATAATTAGAAACTGTTGACACAGACAAACCCAGATCAAACAACCAGGTGAAGAACTGGGAAAGATGAAGTACTAAAGGACAGGAGGGGTGGAAGCCACCACAAAGGGATCAAAGTCTGAAGGTAGACCAGTACCTCTGGTACACTGACAAGGAGGAAGGTCAAATGGAACAGGAAAGGATAGATGCTATACAAGAGGTGAGCCCCTGAGCAGAGGCAAGGGACCAGAGAAAAGGTACCCATGAAGGTGGAGTTTGGTGACTTTGGAATGACCTATGTCTGATTGCAGTTGTCAAAGAAGTGACTAGAACAGAGGTAAGGGCAGAGGATGTTACTCCCGTAAGGACTAGAGCAGAGGTAACCACATCTGAGCAGTCCAGTACGGAGTAACGAACAGGACATGACAAGGAGTGGTCTGGATAAGGGAAAAAAACTCTGGAGAGGAGTCTGATTGGAGGGTAGGCATATAGGTGAAGATCCCTCCAAACCAAACTGAATGCATCTACTCCAAATGTAGTAAAGTGTATACTACACAGACATACATGTATTTCAATATTAGGTACTAGTTTTCCACATTTGATATAATTTATTGCTCTTTACATACACTTTAACATATGTATTATTAAATACTTTGATTGATTTTTATTAAATGGCATACACAAAAATAATTATTATTATCACATAAGCGTCACTGTACAAAATTTTAACTGGTCTTCCTTTCATCCTACTTGTTCGTTGACAGTTTTGTACCACTGCAACACTCAATGTGTTTGCAAGTTATTCTTTCCATCACTTTGACGATCAGAAAGAAATGACAAGGACTCTGGGAAGGAAAAGTTGTCATACAAGGGCAGTTCTTGTTTTTTAAGAAAAACATTTTTTAAAAGGAATATAATTGAAGTGTTAAAGATTATTAAGGGGAATGATGGTAACAATGCATCACCTTTTTTGTATTTATTGGTGAGAATGATAGGGCAATGTGTAACAAGTTTATAAATTTTGGCAGGGAAGTATTCATCTTCAGCTTAAACAATTATATTTTTCTAATAGAGTGGTTGGCCTCCAAATGTAGTGGATGCAATAATACTGAGTGTGTTTAACAAAACAAAGTTTAAGGACAACAAGGGACCTATCGGTCGATCTCAGCTGTCCCATCCTCTGAACTAAAATTATTAAATAAATTAATAAAAAAAAAACCTTAAAGCCAGCCCTTATCATTCATATAGTTATCAAGTTTTTCTTAAACTCACTTAAATTTACTGCCTCTACATCAGAAGGCAACCCATTCCAAAGGCTAACCACCCTGTTAAAAAAATAAAACTGTCGTAGCTGAAGATGACTCATACTCTAACAAAATTTATATTTGCATCCCCTAGTCGTACTATTCTTGTTGTTTAATAAATGGCTTGACAAATATTTGAATGATCAGAGCCAAATTTTTTTTAATGGATGGAATAGCCTCTAAAGACAAAAAAAAACTTGCCAAAGGCTTATATATTCCCACACATGGAATGTTAGTGACAGGTTTCACTATGTAGGCATATGAATACATATGAAGAATCAACACTTGAACTGGTTTTAGCACAACTTTTTTATCCATGGTTCTTAGTAAAATAGATCAATTCATGTGTTATTTTGATAACACTGTATACATTTTACATGCTTCTTCCATATGGGTAGTATTTGTGGAAGATGCTGTTCAATTAAAATTAAATATTGTTATGCCCATTACTACTAGCCATTTGAATCTCTTTCAAATGCTAGAATCACTGTAGATTCAAAGTATGAACTGTTCTGGAGTTTAGGGAGTAATGCCCAAGACTGGAAGAGTTTTATATGTGAACTAAATAAGTTATGATCACGGTTCTGTTTATCACAGCTCTCATAACAGAAATCTCAAAGCATGCAAGCAGACAAGTAACATAAAAATTTTGAGTTTTATACAAATATCCTTTTCCATAGATGTTTCATTTGACCAAGGCAATTTGATAACTATTCACACCATGCTCTAAAACCTCTATATACCCATATTCAAAACAATAGAAGTTTTAATATAATTAGTAAAAATTACCTCCACCAAAAAGAACAAACAGCTGCATTTCATTAATCAATCATGGCAGAACACTGTAAAATGGAATGGGTTCAGTAATAATTTGGTGATTAGATGATCTCAAAAGAAACATTATTGTGTAATACTACTAATAGTGCTACTCCAATTTCAAAGTAATTCTGAGACAAGGCAGATAAACTTCATTTTTAATCTGGTTTTACAGCTACAACATATTAAAGATGTAAATAATCATATGTCTACTTAGAAATATCCATAACATCATTATAAGAAAAACGCTTAAGTTAAGTGATAAGTTACTGCCAATATCATAGTTTGATATTTTCATATTACATACACAGAAATATAAATTTAATGGATTGGTTTTGTTGGAATCATGCAAATCTGCTTATCTAGTTACACTTAGTCATTTCACACGGCATAGAAAAAAGACGCTACGATTTTCGTTATACTACTAGTAGTAGTAAATCTAAGCCAAAATATTCCAAATCATTATGAAATATATAGGCTTAGGCTCTTTCACTCCTGCTCCGCAGACTGCATACATTCATGTCCCGAATTTGTTAAATTTCCCATAACGTTTCTAGTGTCATACTACGGAAGACTTTACAACAGACTTATCTTGTTTCTTACGAAATATGAATAGGAGTAAAATAATCACTGTTATTAATAGGGTGACATATTTAGAATAATTAATTAACCTTTAAATCATCCGGAGAGACATAATCTTCCAACAAAGGTTCCATTTCCGTCTTGATTGATGTAATGTTAACAGCGCTGTCTTCGAAATTTGAAACAAAACTTACCAACCAAAAATACCATTACAAATTACGAATTTTTTACGTAAAAGGTAAAAAAAAAGATGTTTTTACAAATCTAACGAGAGGTATTTCAATAGTATTTACGAGTTATAAATCATAGTAACGTAGATTTTATCAATAAATATTTTTTTTGTTGCCTACTGCCCTCCGGTAACTCAGCAGTAAGTTTGAGGGATTATAAAGCTAAAAATTGGGTTTCGATACTTGCGGTAGATAGAACACCGATAGGCCACTGTGTAGCTTTGGGCTTTACAACAAACAAACAAAAATGTTTCTACTGTCTACGCACCGCCATGATCGTCTATTCATTTTATGACCAAATGAAATAGTAATGTTATGTCTCCGTGTGTTAATTGATTTTCCGTAACTTCGTTCCGACGAAACTTTAGCGACACAAGTCCTTACTTAATAAAACTGATTTATTCTTTCTGAATATAACTTTACGATACACTTCGCGCTAAAACAAACGCTATAACGAACTTCAACAATACTCTCTGACTGCAGATCAATTACTCACTACCTACACACACTTTGTTTCGACACGTTGTCACCCTCTTATATATATACCAGTCTACCCTATATCTAGTAATCTCCCGAAGGTTCGAGAGAACGAGGGCGTGACACTAGTCACGTGACCTCGCTGACGCAACACTGCCCCCTCCTTTGTATTGTTCGTCCCGAACAATAACCACATACAATAAACCAATAACAATTAACAATAGCTTAATTAAATGTACAGAATTACAATAACAAAATTATAATTCAACAAAGTCTCTTAATTTACGGGACGTATCTTCTCCGTTATTGGTCTCCAT